TTACTACGACGAGAAGGTGGTTAAGCTGCTCAATTCGGAGCTGGCCGACGCCTTAGGGGGCCTCCTGAACAGGTGCACGGCCTCTGCCCTGAATCCCAGGGGGGCTTACCCCCTCTTCTCCGAGACCTGCTTCCCTAGGGATGTGGAGATTCCAAACAGATCTGGCAAGGCCCTAACAGAGGACTACAAGCTGGTGTCGTCGGTCGAGAGCCTGCCCGTGACAGTGAGCGCCTTTTTCGATCGCTTCCAGATCTACAAGGCTCTGGAATCCATCACGGAGTGCGTGAGGCAGACCAACGGCTTCGTCCAGAGGCACAGGCCGTGGAAGCTACGCCGGGAGGATCCCGCAGAGAGAGAGTGGCAAGAAACCATTCTCCACGTGGCTCTGGAATGCCTTCGGGTATACGGGCTCCTGCTGCAACCGGTGGTCCCGGCCATGGCTGACAAACTTCTCTCACGGTTGGGCGTTTCTCCTACGGAAAGATCTCTAAAAGATTTGGACTTCCTCCCCCGCTATCATGGCAGAAGATGCCCCTTTGAAGGCAGGAAGCTGGGGCCGGATCCTGGCCTCCTCTTTCCCAGGCTTGAGAAAAACCTGAAGCCGGCGAATAGAATAGAATAGAATAGAATAGAATAGAATAGAATAGAATAGAATAGAATATTTCTATTCCAGTGATGGCGAACCTTTTTGTTGTGGTGTGCCGATAAGGCACGTGTGCTCGCACCCACAATGCAATGCGCCCCCCCCTGCACATGCACGCACAACACCCCCACCCCTTTACCTGTACTGCGCATGCGTGCACCTCCCAGCATGCACCTCCCAGACCGTTTTCGTCCTCTCAGGGGCTCGAGAGAAGCCTCGGGAGGCTGAAAATGGGCCCGTTTTGGCACTTCTGGTATTTCCGGAAGGCCTGTTCTTTTGGCCTCCAGAGGCTTCCCTCAAGCCCCCGGGAGAGCGAAAATGGCCTCAAACAGGCCGAAAATCAGCTGGGAGATGCGTGCATGCGCAGTGCAAGTAGGTTTGGCTGGGGCTCGCGTACCTGCACAAATGGCTCTCCGTGCTACCTATGCGTGCCATAGGTTCTCCACCTTGGTTCTGTTCTTTGGCGGTTCAGGGGCTAAGTTGCTGAGCTTGTCGATCAGAAAGGTCAGCAATTTGGCGGTTCGAAGCCCTAGCGCCGCATAACGGAGTGAACTCCCGTTACTTGTCCCAGCTTCTGCCAAGCTAGTGGTTCGAAAGCATGTAAAAAATGCAAGTAGAGAAATAAGGACCACTTTGGTGGGACGGTAACAGCCTTCCGTGCTCCTTCTGGGGTTTAGTCCTGCTGGCCACATGACCACAGAGACGTCTTCGGACAGCGCTGGCTCTTTGGCTTTGTAACGGAGATGAGCACTGCCCCCTAGAGCCGGAAACGTCTAGCACGTATGTGGAAGGGGCACATACCCCTCTATTTTACCTCTACTTTTAGAATACTTCATTGGATACACAAGGAACTTGTCTCCTGGTGCAGATTCTTAAGTTGTTGTTTTTTTTAAAAAAAGAGAAGAACGGGGAACTAAAACTTCTGAGAATGTGCAGTCAGGGTGAACTAAAATAAGGGGGGAAAGGATTCATATAATATGCAACTAACTCAGATGTCTGAGTTGTTATTTTTAGCTTTCCGTGCCTTGTGGGGTTACCTTTTTTTTATATTCTAGTGTAATTCACTTGAATTTCGACAATATGTGTCTTCTCAAGATGTATGGAATTAAGAAGATTAAGTAAAGAATGAGCGTTCTACTCAATCGAAATAACCGTGTTGAAGGAAAACAACTTTTATGTTGAGCACAATGTTAAAGATTGAAAATATCAGAGTTTGTATTTCACCATGCATTGCCAAAACCTTCCGACATGGCAACAAACTGCACAGTCCTTTGTTGTTTCCACAGATATTTATTCTTTCTACACATGCGTTATTACTTCACCCTCTTGCCTTCTCCGTTCTGGAGTTTTAAAAACCCCATATTAATTGCTTGATTTATGTACCACTTTGAAGAGCCGGGGGAGACCAACGTTATCAGATGCAGTTTGAGGTGATATATTCCTGTTGTGCTGTTGAAACTCCTGTAAGAAGATTTAAAGACCTGAATTTAAAAACCTGAAACCAGAAAGAGTGATTTCTACTGCCTTCTTATTGAGTGATGGAATGCCATTTTTACATGTGTGCATTCAATTTATGGGTGCTATAAAAGTCTTTATAGCAGCTAATTCTGGAAGCTATAAGCAGCTTTTTCTCCAAAAGGCAGTTTGTTGGCGCTGGTGTAATTAAACATTGGCATGCAAATAAGCATCGAACGGTGCAAGCCTAACCACGTTTATTCCAAGTTCTTAAAAACGGGAAGTATATTGGTACGTAGGTCTTTAAAACTGCAGGTTGAAATCTTACAAGTGAACCCCCTTTTACTCAAAAAATAAAACCGAGGTTAATGCAGTTTCAATGGAGCAAAACAGCTCCAAAAGCCTAAAGGAAGCTCAAAGAATTGAGAATTAACCTAACGGAGACACTAAGGCCCCAAAATGATACGTTTCCTCTCTTTAATCCTTGGCGATGATTTCTCCAGAATCTTTCCAAAACATTAATTTTTCAGTGTGTCAGAAGGCGAAAATATATGAATTTGGCAGCCAGTCACCATATTAGCTTTGTCTGAAATGCTATAGGGTTTCCTGCCTAAGCAGGGGGTTGGACTAGAAGATCTCCAAGGCCCCTTCCAACTCTGTTATTCTACTCTAAGGTGTAACTAATACATTTTTTTTAACATGTTAGTGTGATTTTTCTTTCTTCCTAGTGTTACATCAGAGATCAAGTGTTGGTTCATTTCTAACGGGATATCACCTAAGTGTTATTTTCATGGTGCAATTCTCACAGTTCAGAGACAAGATCTCTTAAAGCTGTGCCTAAAAATTGAAAATTACGATTAGGAAAGCAAGCATGCCTCCATTTTATTATTAGACACTGAGCCGTCTCTTAAATAAAATTCCATACTTCTGCTCATACCTGTTCAATGCAGGATGATGGGAACCCCTAACTAGTATCCTCTTCTCTCCTAGATTTTAAGAGCCAACACAGGTCATCCTTGATTTACCACCTTTCATTTTAGATAGTGAAGTTACAGCAGCACCGAAGAAAGTGACTCATGACAGGCCCTCACACTTACGACTATTACAACATCCTCATGATCAAAAGTTTGGCGCTTGGCAACTGGCATGCATTGATAACAGTTGCGCCATGCCTGGGGTCACGTAATCATCATTTGTGACTTTCCCAGCCTGCTTCCAACAAACACAGTCAATGTGAGAATCTTGATTTGCTTAACTGCATGATTCACTTAGCAACTGCAGTTGTTTGCTTAAAAACGGTGGCAGAAAGGGTCAAATTTGGCCTGACTCACAGAGCACCTACCTTGCTTAGGGAGGGAAGGAGGGAGGGATTAGGTAGGTAGGTAGTTATACGGTAGGTAGATACGGTAGGTAAGTAGATGGCAGGTAGAGAAGATGGTGTGTGTATAGGTACATGGTATGTATGTGTGCTATGTATATGGGTAGATCTATAAAGGTAGTTCTCAGTTTGTTCAGTGACCGTTCAAAGTTACAACGGCACTGAAAAACGCGACTTCTGACAGTTTTTCAAAGTTACGACCTTTGCCTCATCCCCACGATCCTGGGATCAAAATTCAAAGGCTAGGCAATGGGTTCCTATTTATGACCGTTGCTGAGCCTCAAGGTCACGCGATCCTCTTTTGAAACCCTACAACAAGCCAAGCCAACGTGGTCGCAAGCCAGATTCGCTCCACAACTGAGTTAAACGGCTTAACCCACCGCTGCCACAATCTCCTTCACAAACCCGGGGCAAGCAAGGCGGTGTACAGTGGCTGCCCAGCTCTTAACCGACATCTGGCTGGCCATCAGGAAGGTGGGGTTCGAATCGCGGTCGTAATCTGAGGATTGCCTGCCCTTTCTTTTGAATTTATTTGTTAAAGTGCTCACAGGGGGGGAAAAAAAATGACAATGAAGGCTTATCTTATTTTAAGGACATGATGGCCCATAGTGGTGGATGGCCCTTCCCTAACCAGCTGCAGTCCCCTCCCCTTCTTTAAGCAAGACCACCACAAGAAGATATTGGACTGCCCTTTACGCTGACAAATTTAAGACTTGAAAAGGTCATCCAGTTCAACCCCCACCCCGGCCCAAGCAGGAGGCCCCCATTTCTGATAAGCAACGCCACCGCAGGAAGAGATTGGACTGCCGTTTACGCCTGCAGATTTAAGATTTGGAAGGGGCTTTGGAGGCCATCTAGTCCAAACCCAATCCCCCACCACCAGCCAAGCAAGAAGCTCCCATTTTCTGATATACGGCAGTCCAATCTCTTCTTGCCTTGGTGTTGCTTATCAGAAATGGGGGGGGGGCTCCTGCTTGGGCGGGGGGGGGGAGGCGGGGTTGGACTAGATGACCTCCAAGGTCCCTTCCAACTCTTGTTCAAATCTGTAAGCATGAAGCGCTCTTGTGGGTCCAATAGCCCAAGCCCTGCCCACCGCCCATCTCGAGAGCGCCGGAGAGAATGAAAAGCCCGGCTTGCGCAACGCCCCGCCTGGCTCTTCCTTTACACTAAGGCTTAGCGAAGCAGCAGCCCGGTTGGTGAGTTCGAGACCCGGCGGAGAGGCTGGGGTGGGAAGGGAAGGCAGAGCCGGCCAAGAGGCAGCCGCCCGCCCCCACCCCCGGGGCCGAGCCTGCTTGCCTGCCTGCCGGTCCCAGCTGCGTGCGGGCCCCCACCGTAGGCTCCGCCTTAAGCCGGGCTGGGCGCTGGGAAACCGCCTGGAAGCCCGGCAGCCAATGGCCGAGCGGCCCCAGGGGCGGCTCCCGGCCGGCGAAGCGAGCTTGCTCGGGCGGCTGCGGCTCGGGCGGCCGTCGTCCCTGGTCAGGTTGGTGCTGCCGGTGCAGCGGAGCTGCTGCTGAGCCCCGCTGGTCCCGTTGCCCACCCCGCGCGGCTGCTGCTGCTGCGGCGGCGGCGGCTGCTGTTGCATCCTCCTCCTCCTCCTCCTCTTGTCCTCCCCCCCCTCCCCCGCCGCCGGGATGGAGCTGGAAGCCTCCCTGGAGCAGTCGGTCCAGGCGCGCATCTTCAAGATCATCGTCATCGGCGACTCCAACGTGGGCAAGACCTGCCTGACCGTCCGCTTCTGCGGCGGCACCTTCCCCGCCAACACCGAGGCCACCATCGGCGTGGATTTCAGGGAGAAGGCGGTGGAGATCGCCGGCGAGCACATCAAGGTAAGGCGGGGACGGAGGGGCGGCCAAAGCGGGGCGTGTGAGGGGTGGGGAGACACCGGGTCCCGCGGGAGCATCTTCCCCGGCGGAGAGATGCTCGGTGCCCCGGTTTCCTTGGAGACCCTTTCCTCCTCCTCCTTCCTCCCTTTGGCATCCCTGCCTTTGGACCGAATCCACCGGGAGGGCTTCAGGCTGGGAGGAAGGCCCTTCCCTGATCAGGGGCAGCCCCCTCCCCTTCTTTAACCAACCCCACCACAAGAAGAGATTGGATTGCCCTGGATGCTTACGGATTTAACAGGCTTGGAAGGGACCTTGGAGGTCATCTAGTCCAACCCCCCCTCCCGCCCAAGCCGGAGGCCCCCCATTGGTGATAAGCAACACCAGCAAGAAGAGATTGGGCTGCCGTTTACACTTATGGATTTAATGGAAGGGATCTTGTAGGTCATCTAGTCCAACCCCCCTCTGCCCAAGCAGGAGGCCCCCATTTCTGATAAGCAACCCTACCACAAGAAGAGATTGGGCTGCCGTTTACACTTACAGATTTAACAGAAGGGACCTTGTAGGTCATCTAGTCCAACCCTCCCCTGCCCAAGCAGGAGGCCCCCATTTCTGATAAGCAACCCCACCACAAGAAGAAAGAGACTGCCATCTGTCACAAATGGTGTAGGTAGAGTCTGCTGCTTGGGGGGGAGAGGCGGGGTTGGACTAGATGACCTACAAGATCCCTTCCAACTCTGTCAAATCTATAAGCGTCTCTAAGCCAGGGCTTCTTCCTTCCACCCATCCTACTGAAGCCTTCCTGTGACATTATCTCTGGATTGTCCATAAACCGGGGATGTGTGTCTATATAGCCAGCAAGGCCCCTGGGGTTTGGGTTACAGAGGGTCGTGTGAATGCAGCCAGATAGCAGTGACATGATAGCAGTGTTAGAAAGGCTGACACAAAGAAGAAAGGGGTCAAATTATTCTCCAAAGCACCAGGATAGGAAACAATGATTGGAAACTGATCAAAGAGAGAAGCAACCTGGAAGGAAGGAGAAATTTTCTAACAGTGGGGACAATGAACCAGTGGAACAGCCTGCCACCAGAAATTGTGGGCGCTCCATCACTGGAGGCTTTTAAGAAGAGACTGGATAGCCACTTGACTCAAATCGTGTAGGGTTTCTTGCTTGAGCTGGACTAGAAGACCTCCAAGGTCCCTTCCAGCTCCATTCTATTCTAACAGTAACTTATTTGAATTTGAAATAAGGGAATTTGAAACAGACTGGGAGAGCGCGTGATCTCATTCTCTAAACGGCTGGAAGGGTCAGTCAAGGAGATGGATTGGTTCGTGTCCTGGCTGGGATTTGAGTTACCTGCTGTGTGAAACCTGGCCACTCTCCCTGTAAACAAAGTTTCTGAGTTATCGGTGTATGTGTTTGTACCTAGCTTAGATGTATATGTCTTGTTCCAGAAATCCTCTTGTTCCCCCCCCCCCGCCCCCGCCCCCAACCTTGTGAGGTAGGTCAACCTGGGAAAGTGACGAGCCCAAAGTTTACCTGTTGAGCTTGGAGTTGAATTTAGAAGAGCAACTTTAAAAAAAAAACATTATTCACACCAGTTTTCAGAACCAGGATCTTGCATAAAACAGCCCATTGTTCAGAAAATGAGCCATTGAACGAATCCTTCTAATGCAATGTGTGGTTAATGCAATGCCTGGCTCTAGTCTGTTTTGCATTTAAATAATTGATGCCTTCTCCTCCCCCCCTCCCCCATTTCCTCCCCATAGCCCTGTCAAGTGGGAAGGGGGAGTGTGAAAACCACTGGCCTGAAGTCATCTACTGAATGGTGTGACTAATTAGGATATTCAGATTTGATTTTCCTGGTTTGGTACTCTTAAACAATGACTTGCCCAGTATAATATTTTTGGAATTGTTTCACCACACCCCAGTTGCCAAGGGATCCAAATCACTATTTTCCACTGAGAAAACTCAATAAATCTGTGTATACGTGTTTTGTGTGCATTATAAATTGGTATATAAAATCATGTTAATACATACAATATTTTTGTCATCCATCTTGACCAATTGACTGGATTGATTCCTGCCATTTTCTTGGAGAGGGTTTTCAGAAAGTGGTTGGCCATTCCTTCTTTCCTAGGGCTAAGAGAAAGTGACTGGCCTAAGATCACCCAGCTGGCTTTGTGCCTAAAGTGGATGTTAGAATTCCCAGTCTCACAGCTTCGAGCATGATGCCTTAACCACTCAACCTAAGTGGCTCTTTCTTTTATACTATATATGAATTTTTTTGAGGTTGCACTGACATGTTGAAGGAATAATAGACTATAATCTGGGATGCTGGTCCAATGTGAGTTGGCAGATGTGAGTGGTGTTAGTCTGGGGCGAGGGTCTTCATGCCCCTGGTGGAGACTGACTCTGAGGAAGAGGAGGAACAGCCGACAGGGAGTGGAGGTGTGGCTCCAGAGGTGGTTGAGGAGGCTGGGGAAGGGCAGAGGCCGGCTGAACAGTCAGAGGAGGACCCAGGCCCATCCCCTCTCCATCCTAGGGCACGCAGGGAGGAGAGGATCAAAGTAAAACATAGTCTACTTGGGAGGAGAGGGCCATGATCCTCTTCATAGGTTGTAGGTGTGAGATTTGCATAAGAGTTTGGACCTGCGTGCTGACAGACGCTGGAGACAAATTAGTGTTTCATTCCTAAAGAAGGTGTATCTTGGTTGGCATTCTTCCAACGGACTGTACCTGGTTATCTTCCTGAAGTTGGCAATTATCTATCCTGGTCTGTCGTGGAACTTTATTCAGTGCGGTTTGTTCTGGGTTTTTGCTTCGTGATCAGCTCTTTGAATTTGAACTGTGTTCCTTTCCTTTGAAATGTTATTTTGAAAATAGTTTACTCCTTCACTGTGAACAATTAAACAGTGAAGCCAAGTTGAAGGCATTAAAGGACTTTATCCATAGAGGAATCGATGTTTGAGCTGTCATGCTTCATTCATAGATTGCTGTTTTGCCAGATCAGATGACGATGCATGGATGAACCGATTTGGTAATGTTTGGATGCACTCATGATGAGGGCTTTGTTTATCCCATTGGCAAAAATCTGATAAAAATGTGGGTGTGGATCTTGGCAAAAAGGAAGAGAGATGTGAGAACACCAAGATTACAAACCCATCTGTTTGAACGCAGGTACTGCTGAGCATCCTTCTGTTATTTCTATGTGGAAGAAAACAGGATGAGATGCTTAGGAGTAGCTTTTTCTTTTTCTTTCACTTGGCACATTAGAGAGGTCATCTGTAAACTGTAAACCCTTTGATCATATCTGCTATATCCCGGATAGCCAGTCAGAATTCTAGTGTTAATAAAGGTGAATGTATAAATAGGAGTCTGGAAAAGTTAGAAAGATACTTTTATTGGAATAACTGCAGAAGGGTTCAGGTTTTTGAATTACCCTGAATTCTGGAAGAAAAACACAGGCTCTGTATTCTTCGATTCTTTAAAAGTAGCAATAATCTTTAGTTCCTGTTTTTTTTTTAAAAAAAATATTTTTTTAAAAAAAGAGAACATTAAACGAACAGAAACTGATACAAATAAGGAGAACAAAAGAACAAAGAGAGAGAATTTTTTTAAAAACTGCAGAAAGAAAATATAAAAAGAAATAAAAACATCCGATTTCCTTTGCAGCAAATACAAAACTATCTCTTACTATATGATTACAAAAAAGCTAACTCTTTCTATTATCCCATTTTTTCCCAATCATTGTAACCACAACTTTTAAATGCATTTCCCCCCCTGTTTCATGCAAAAAAGTTCACACAGGGTTTCCAGTCAGTTATAAATGTGGATATTTTCTTTTCTCTAATCAAAGATAGCCACCTTTGCAAGCTCTTTCATCTTCCCCAACCATTCCTCCATTGTGGGTGGTGTCAAACCTTTCCACTTCTGAACATCTAACAATTTCACTTCTATTATACAGAAAAACAAAACTTCCATAACTTTTTGCTAGCGGACTGCCCACTTTTAGTTCCTATTTGTACTATAAGACCCAAATGTTACTCAAAACCTGTATTCATATATTTTAAACTTGGGTTATGGAAGCACATAAGCAAATCCACCAGAGGTGGTATTCAGCAGGTTCTGACCAGTTCTGGAGAACCAGTAGCGGACATTTTGAGTAGTTTGGAGAACCGGTAAATACCACTTCTTACTGTCCCCGTCCCCATCTATTCTCTGCCTCACACTGAGTCCCAGCTGATCAGCTGGGTCTTCTTTGGTTGCCCTGCACAGGAGAATGGAGCTGGAAAGCAGGTTAGTGGGGTGGGGAAGGAATTGGGGATTTTGCAGTATCCTCCCGCCGTCACGCCCACCAAGCCACACCACACCCACCAGGCCACACCCACAGAACCACTAGTAAAAAAAAATTGAATCCCACCACTGAAATCCACCATATTCTGGTTTGGTCAGAAGGCATGGTTTAGAGATCATATTGAGGCCGGAGTTCGGGTCTATCTATGATATACAGAATTTGCAAAATGTGATCTTAGCCTTCTACTCTAGCATATGTGGAAACCCATTCTATTCCTATTTTCTTCCTTTTTCTCTCTGCCTTGCCCAGATGTGGATGAGAGTAAGATGACCTGAGTTTATTCCTGCAGGAGGAGGAGGTTCTATGGAGCAATGCTGCTTTTAACCTTTTAAGTAGCCAGGAACCATCCCAGCCAGAAAGAAAAAAAAACCTTTGATTTTTTTCCCCCCTATTTATTTTGCAAAAGGAGGAATTTTGAACAGAGAATTATTTAATGGTCTGCATCCATCATCCAGTTGTAGCTGTGGGGCAACATTACTTTAAAATGTCTTTTAAGTAAAGAAAGGATAAAAGGATGTTCAGGAGATGGGAATAGACTTTAAGGAGCAGGCATGAGGCTGCCTTTTTTTTAAAAAAAGATGATAATTTTATTACAGCTCAAAAATGCAAAGAGAAATGAATAATGCAAGCTGAGAAAAATAGAAGAAGTAAAGAAGAAGAAAAATGCAAAAGGCTGAATATTTTCTGTCTGATGAATCCCTGTGTCCTTCCAGGATGTTTACTGTTCCTTTGTTTGATGGTCCAAAGTGACTTTCTGCCCCCTCGTCTGAAATTCTCGAAGCTATTTTATCACCTTGTTTTGCTCTATGTGTCAGTGCAATCTTATACACCCTCTGGGGACAAACGATAGCTTTCTAGCCCCAAGGAGCTGCTGAGACCAGAATACAAAGGCCAGCTTGTGCTGTGGAAGGAATGAGATGAGGGGAGTGGCAGCCTCTATTTGCTGAGCCAGACAACGGGTCTATCATGCTGTGTGCTGAGTTAAGGAAGCTGGGATCAATGCTGTCTCCAGAGCGTGCAAATATCCATGTGCAAATCTGCTGTGGAGGTCCTGAAATCAGGGTGAACCCCTCTCGGCCAAGACAGGGTTGTTAGGAGAATAAAATGAAGGAAGAAAAACATTTGCGTTACCCTTGCAAGAAGGACATCGAGTAGGTAGATAGTCCTGGGGTTAAAACCATTCGTTTCGTGACCATTCAAAATTACAACAGCACTGAGCCTCTTGGGTGGGGATGGTGGGAAAAAAGTACCTTTGGGACATAGCAAGGGGAAATTTAAAAAAGCAATACGGAGCTCGGGATTCCCGCAACGGAGGCAGGAACGCCATTATCGGTAGGTTTTGCCAAGTTGTTGTGCTCTCTTTTACAGGTCCAGGTGTGGGACACAGCAGGCCAAGAGAGGTTCCGGAAGAGCATGGTGGAGCATTATTACCGCAACGTCCACGCTGTGGTGTTCGTCTACGACGTCACAAAAATGGCCTCCTTCCTCAACTTGAAAAACTGGATTGAGGAGTGCAACGGCCACGCGGTCCCGGCTCTCGTCCCCAAAGTGCTTGTGGGAAACAAGTGTGACTTGCGGGATCAAATCCAGGTCCCGTCAAGCATGGCCCTGAAGTTTGCCGATGCCCACAATATGCTTTTGTTTGAAACCTCCGCCAAGGACCCCAAAGAGAGTCAGAACGTGGAGTCTATTTTTATGTGCCTGGCCTGCCGGCTGAAGGCTCATAAGTCTCTGCTCTATCGGGACATGGAGAGGCAAGGGAAGGGACACAAAATAGAGTTGGCCCCGGCCTCTGGCAATAGGAACACCTGTCCTTGCTGAAGAGCTGCCTTGACCATTGAACCGGAAGGGCCGGGCAGATGGTTTGGTGTGGTGCCTCAATAAACGGAATCAACGTGGCTCATCTCCAATGAATTCCATGTTAAATTAAGAATAAACGTTTCACACTTGGTTTTTGGGGTTTAGCTTTTTCTCTGCCCTCCGTTGAAATCCATTGGCTGTAATTGAGGAGTCCTTGGGGGGGGGGGGCTCTCTGAACTTGGCTGTTTACTTGCAGATGTTTCATGACCCAAACTAGGTAACATCATCAGTACTCAAAACTACCAGTAGTTTGAGTAATGAAATGTCTGCAAGAAAACAACCAATCTCAGAGAGCACCCAGGATTCTGTAGACCTCCTCGTCCTCTCCTTCCTCCTATTCCTCCTATTCCTCCTCCATTCCACAAACCATACTCCCTGCTAGCACTGATGAGGTTACCTAGTTGGGTAATGAAACACCTTCAAGAAAACAACCAAGCTCAGAGAGCACCCAGGACCCTGTCCTCCTCCTCCTCCTCCTCCTCCTCTCCAAAAACCATACTCCCTGATAGCACTGATGATTGGGTAATTGAAACACCTTCAGGAAAACAACCAAGCTGTGACAATCATAAAGTGGACAACATGGGACTGTGCCCCATTTTGTGACTTGCTTGTGGCAGTCATTAAGCAAATGTGGGGGTCATGAAGTATAAAATTCATTAACTAAAAAGAACAGTGGCAGCGCAGTGGTTAGAATGCAGTATTGCAGGCTGATTCTGCTCACTGCTAGGACTTCGATCCTGACTGGCGCAAGGTTGACTCAGCCTTCCATCCTTCCGAGGTTAGTAAAATGAAGACCCAGATCGTTGAGGGACATACACTGACTCTGTAAACCACTTAGAGAGAGCTGTAAAGCACTCTGAAGCGGTATAAGTCGAAGTGCTATGGCTTTTGCTAAAATTGTTTGCTCTGGGGTGGTCCAAATGCTGTCGCAGGGGGATGGAGGTTGTAACTTTTAAACCAGGTTGTAAGTCCTATTTTGGGGGTCCGTTGTAACTTTGAAGGGTTGCCAAGTAACCAGTCATAAGTCAAGGATCATCAATATGTGTTGTCTGGGCTGCTCAATTTCCCTGGCTGGATTCACCTGACAATGATGCTTGTTGCCAAATCTTATTGTTGGTTTATTGAATGAACCACGTTCAACTGGACAAGATGTAGCTTATCAGTGAAAACACATTCATAGCCTATGAATTGAGGCAGCAAGAACAATTTAAGGCACATTTTCCTGACTGGTTCAGCTCCTTGTTTCGCTTGCAAACAATCTTGCAAAAGTTCTCACACAGCATGTGACTGGCAATAAGGGCGTCTGCAGTGTAAAACAGATAAGTTGTGTGGCTTTGCGCTCCTCCTTACACCAAACCTCTTAAGAGGTCTGAATGGCATCTTTTAACGTTTGAAAAATATGTTCTCATTCATAGATGAGAAGGTGACACTTAGAGGTGTTATCCTCATGTAAGATACATTCTTAGATTTGTGGCCACCCAATATCTGAAGGGCATCAGACTATGAGTGTTTATATGTCTTAACAATTCACCACTCTGTCCCTTTTTTAATCATGATGGTTAAGGATGGTCTAAGAATGCTTATCAAAGTTTGCTTTATTGGTTTACCAACAGTAATTGGGAGGAGAAATTTTGTATTCTCTGCAATGGAAACATAAGCTGTCCTTAGAGTACCAGGAGACTTAAGACCTTGGTTCATCTTATATGGATTGCTTATCAAGCTCCAGTATTCAAGCCATCCAGACCCATTCTGTCTTCACTAATACATCAGTAGATCTGATATAGTTTATTTATTTTATTGGCCAATTCAAATGCCACAGCTGGTCTGGTTAGGTAAGCAACCTGTTATTCTAACTCAGATTTATTTGGATCTTGCCCATGCTTTTTTTTAATGCCAACGTCTGGTTATTTTCTTACATTGCATTGATCATAAGTATAAAAACTATTTGAAAAATATCAGGGCCACATTCACATTGTTCAGGAAGAATTTTAAGCAGGAATGATACAGGATAAGCAATGAATTGATATGCACACGTGACGTGCAATTACAGCCACAAGTGATTTTAGCATTTCACCGCAAGTACAATTCGTTTATAAGTTTCCAGGCCAAAAATGCAGAATTTTCACCATCGATAAGCGAAGTGCTAGACCGGCGACGTCTGAAAACCGATCTCTCCTCCTGCGCGGAATTGAAGCTTTGTGTTATCCTACCATTTCTATCTCTATGGTTTCCTGCTGAACTCCGGAGGAAGAGAGATCAATAGGAGATGAAACGGAAGGAAGAAAAAAATCATTCATTACCAGCCCAGGAGGCGTAGCCTATCGGAGAGAGGGAGAGGCGGGCTCACGCTTGCGCAGTGCAGCGGGCTGTAGGACGTATGTACAAATCCGGGTGGACGCTTTCAGGATGAAGTAAGTGGCAATTGGATAATGACAAAAAATAAGAATATTTTTATGGAAAAGGGAAAGTGGGAGCAGGGCTTTTGGGGGAGATACATGTTCAACTTTGGAACTCCATGGGGAATATAGCGGAAGTGGAATCGATGCAATATTAATGCGGAAGAGAGTTTCTGGGCATACACAGAGTGTGTTTTCATCTAGCAGTAATAGAACGACAGAGTTGGAAGGGATCCTGGAGCTGGTCTGGTCCAACCCTCTGCTCAGGCAGTAGTAGTAGTTGCCTTTTTTTTTTTTTGCTCTAGTTAAGTCTATCTTTGAGCTTAAAGATTCATCTCACCTTTTTTTTAAACTATTACCATCTGGCAAGTGGTACAGGACAATAAAAACAAAGACAAATAGGCTGAAAAACAGCTTCTATCCCAGAATTGAATTGAATTCTGCTGCATAGTGCAATTTTAATGCAGTATCAGGGGTTTTCCATTGTACAGAATGCGAAGGATGTGTGTTTGTGTTTTATTTTTTATGGTTATAATGTACACGGAAGGGGGCATTTAATTTCCTTGCACGAGGTGCATGACAATAAAGTAAACTAACTTAACTAACTAACTAGTAGGATAAGTATACCACATATAATGTATATAGGGTAGAGGCAAATAGAGTATCAGTGGGCTAAAAGTCTGTAGAGATTCTCAGCCATCCAGGTCATGGTTGCCCCCAAAGGTGCTTTTTCAGGAGAAACTGGATTTTGAAAAATAAAAACAAGCAAGTCCAGTTGCCTCCTGAAAAAGCACCTTTGGGACAACCATGACCTGGATGGCTGAGAATCTCTACGGACTTTTAGCTATACAATTTGGGATCGAAACCCTTTGAAGGGTGTGGAAGTAGGAATGGGTTTCCAGAGGAAAAAATTGCAAACTTCAGGAACCAAGAGTACCACTCAGCTGACCCTGAGTATACAGATAAACCTCCAAGTGCCTCAACGACCCTCTAAAAGGATGCAAATGACCCGCTGTCTGTTGCAGTAGCTTCTTGGACGAGAAGTGAAACCTCTTCAAAAGAAAAAAAGAAAGTCCAATTGCCTCCTGAAAAAAGCACCTTTGGGACTATCAGTGGCTAGAAAACGAGGATGCCTGGGGTCAAATACGTCTGCCCATCCAGGCCCCCTCTTTCTGCTGGCCTGTGTGATGTGGGCAGTAGAGGTGGAGGGATAAAATGTGTGCATGTAACTCTGATCTCTGGGGTGAAGTTGGGATAAAATGAGTAAGCAGTTTCTTGGGATCACCACCTCTTCCTGGGAGGCAGGGGTTTAAAAGGATTGTGAGCTGTAGATTAAGACTCGTGGTTGTTTATTCTTCTTTCCTTCTCCAGCCCATTAACCAAAGTGAAGCTGATCAACAAACTGAATGAGCGTGAAGCAGAGCTGGGAGTGAAGGACAAGGTCTCTTGGCACGCAGAGTATAGTGACAGCGCCTGGGTGTTTGTGGGTGCGTAGTTGTGCCTAGAGGCATCTTCCCCTGTCAAGCCCCTGCGGCCTTGTAAACTATGATTAGTCATACAGGAAAATTGGCTAAACGTTTAACCATCACTTCCCTTCTGTTCTCCTTTTAGGGGGGTTGCCATATGAACTGACTGAAGGGGACACTATCTGTGTATTTTCACAGTAAGTAAGAAGAAGGAAAACTTAACTCCAGAAAATGAGAAGCTGTTTGTTTGAGATTGCTTTAAATGTTGCTTTTCAATTAAAACCAAACTATAATGCAAATAACATCAGTGAACGGGAATGAAAAGGGTAATTGGCGAAATTAGCTTTAGTGAAATCGCATCTATTTGGAGGCAGCAGTTATTGAACTGAATAGTGCTTGCTTCAAAATAGTGCAGTGTAGCCTTGTAGTTTTACCAGTGATTTTGCCAGCTCTTGTCTTTACCTACTGCCAGGGAGATGCTGCTATTATAGGCTTTACAGTGTAAATGTGGAATTCCCTCTGTTGGGAAAATCCACATGGACACCATTTTTTTATTTTTTTAAAAAAGCTCTGAACAATAAAAAAATATTTTATTTAGCTAAACTGATGCCTTTATTTTTTACTTAAAACATCAGTTTAGCTGAAACAAATCTGAAAAATAATATTAAGTGTTTTGTTGGAGAAAAGCCAGGTCTTCTGGAACAGCATCTATTCCAGGGCAGGTTTTTTTCTGAGATTATTTGTTAAAGCAGAAGTTTAGAAAATAAGTAATATTCTTATATTGCTTCTGAAAGGCTTAGTTGATTGAAAATGCTGGATGAGGTATAATCTAGTAAAATAGCTCTTAATCTCAGCATATGGAACAGGGCTACAGTCTTTAAGCCCTACATCAACACTTGTATTTTCTCAAAATCCTCCCATGCTTTTTTTTTGTTCTTTAGACCCAAGACTAAATAGTTTACTTTATTGTCATTGCACTTTGTACAACGAAATCAAACACCATCTTCAGTGCACATCATGATCATGAAAATAAACACAAACACACATCCTTCACCCTCCACACATTGAACCGAAAACCCCCGACACCACACCAACACTGCACTATACAGCAGAATTCAAAAGGAGCTACTGCCCTGGGATAGAAGCTGTTTTTCAGCCTATTTGTCCTTGTTTTGACAAGTTCCTTTTTTCTGTTCAGGTATGGAGAAATTGTGAATATAAACCTGGTACGTGATAAAAAGACGGGGAAATCCAAAGGTTTCTGCTTCATATGCTACGAAGATCAGCGAAGCACTATCCTTGCAGTTGATAACTTGAATGGGATAAAGGTTAGTTTCACCGCCAGAGATCCTCTGGGTATTTTGCTGCTCAGATTGGGCTGTGATACAGTTTCACGCAAAATATATATTTAGAAACACTTCTTTAAGAAAGGATGCAGTGAATTTATGCAGGGTTTCATGGACGTAACAGAAAGGGAACAGCAGGCTGGAAATCCTCTTTTTAAATCAGCAAAAATAAAGCCTCTTTCATAATAATCCAAAGATTATCTCAGGCTTCAGTGTGTCTTAAGCCAAAATCTTAATTGCTTATATTTGATGGTTACCTGCTCATATAGTAATAGCAATAAGCACTTAGATACTGCTTTATAGTGCTTTACAGCCCTCTCAAAGCAGTTTACAGAGTCAGCCTGTTGCCCCCAACAATTTGGGTCCTCATTTTACCTACCTCGGAAGGATGGAAATTTGCAGTAGGAGTAGCTTGCAGTACTGCACTCTAACCATTGCGCTATTGAGAGTCCTTATAGATTCCATGAGAAAAACAATAGTTTCACAATGTTTTTTTAAGTTTTTTTTTAAACTTGAACATACCTTCCATTAAACAGCATGTCATCTAGGTTCAAATGTCTCTGTGCCATTACAGTCAAAGTTTACAATATTCATTACATTGATAATAATTCTCTAATCTTACAATATTAATAATCAGCATTATAACTCTATTCATTTCTCCCTCTTAACATACCTTCTAATAAAAATATAATATTGTATTGAGTATGGTCACCTTAACAATCATATTTAATAATCATCGTATTGTTTACATCTCTATCTCAACATATATTCTTTATTTCACTAATCTCTAGAGATAAAAGGTATGGAAATAAAAAAGAACAGTATAAACTACAGGCATTTGCAATGACGTAGTATTTATTTTGGAAGACCCACAAGAAACGGCCTAAATTAATTTTAACAATAGAAAAATATGGGGAAGTAGCAGGACTGAAAATAAAGAGAAAATCAAAATTTTAGTGAAAAACATTACAGATAAGCATAAAAAAGAGTTAATGAAGAGAATAGATGTTCAGATTGCTAAGAAAATAAATATTTAGGAATTTGACAGTAAGATGTGTAATGATTAAGGAAGATAATTATCAAAAATTGATACAACAAATTAAAACAGATTTGGAAAATTGGAAAAAAATGAAACTATCATTGATAGGAAGGATGGCTACAGTTAAAATGAGTATATTGCTGAGTAGTTTCACAATGTTTGTAATTTCATGTTTGCAGATAAAAGGAAGGACAATTCGTGTGGACCACGTGGCCAACTACCGCCCACCCAAAGATTCTGAGGACATTGATGAGATTACAAAGGCTCTCCGAGAGAAAGGATGCGGTATTAAAACCCCTCCTCCAAGTTCAGCTGAATCCTCAGAAGATGAGGAAGTGCAAGTAAAAAGGCACAAGAAAGGTGAGATGTCTTTCTTTGGCCAGAATTATATAATCTGAAAAAGCTAGTAGTTCGTTTAATCACATTTGATTAAGTCACAACTGACTTGATTCACACAATGTGCTGTGCTACAACGTGCCTTATTTGAACTAGGCTGTGTTGTGTGTTTCTATGCTGTGTGCAAACCTCAACTTTAAAACTATAGGAAGCTTCCAGATGTAGGAATATACATTTCAGTGAAGAAGAATGACCTGGAGATCCAGAATCCTGTTAATTTTCTGGCTTTTGAATTATATCTGATTAGTGTGAATTATACCTGCATCAATATACATGTGGTGTTTCAGCCTCTATTAACTGGAGGGCTTTTAGAAAACAAAACAAAAAATCTTGGGATGAAGGAGAAAAGGCTAATTTCCTATTTTTAAAAAATTTGTTGCAATATAAAATAAAATTGAACATTGTTTCTCATTCTGAGCCACTGTAAGTTGCCTGTATTTTGGCTCACGCACTTTCCCAGCTAAAATTTGGGGAATTGAAATTCACACATTTGAAAAGTTGTTGAGACTGAGCAAAAACGAAATAGAAAGTGCTGGTCATTTTTGTTTAGTTGAGGTACAATAAACATTAGGGTTAACATTTCGGGGTAAGCAGGAGAAATACAACATTAAAGGGAAAAAAAGAGTCAATAGATTCAAATCTCTTTGAAAGAAAGTTGCCTGCGATTTGAAAGCTAGGAAAGAGTTTCTGGAAAGTTGGAATACCAGGAAATATAAAAAGGAGGCTTAGAAAAGCATCTGAAAGAGAGATTTGTGGAAGTCTTTTTGACTACATTTCCTGTACTTTCAGAGAAAAAGAAGAAGAAGAAAGAAAAGCAAGAGCACCGGAAACATCTGAAAGAGGAGCCTGCTACAGGTGTGCTTTTCCCCAAATCCAAGATTAAAGTGGAAAAAGAGGACCCGGACTATGAACGTTACGCTGGGACAAACCAGGAAACCTGGGGCAGCGCATCTGGGCACCGCCAGCAAAGTAGGATGCCACAAGGACAAGAGCTCAGATACGAGAGCGGGACAGAGCGACCTCAAGAAAGAGGGTCAGAAAGAGACAGGCACGAACGCAGAACACTCTTAAACGAGGAAAAGCACAAGAAAACAGAGGGCATGAAAGATAGGCACTGCTCATCAGGAAGCAAATTGCGTGATCGTTCAGAAAATAGAGACAAGCCTCCCCGGGAGAAATCCTCAAATCGTTATTAATTCAACTGCTGTGTATGTTCTCTCTCTGCACACACGAGGAAAGGCTGCTGTAGGCTGTGTGCTCAGAACATTGGCTCTATGAAATGTAGTAGACAGGGCAGACAGCACAATGTTAAAATTTGAAAATGCAAGGGGAAACTCTGGTGTGCTCTTTGGAGCAGCGGTTTGTCTTTCCAGAAAGGAAAACTACACACACAAAACAAAAACCCAGGTGCTACTTTGCCTCCCAGTTGCAGTAAAGGCCTGAATTCCAGGTGCAAAGCAGCAGTATGAGCCTTCCTTTCCCCCACTTCAAAAATCTAAGCTTTAATAAATCCAGTTTTGAACCGTGTTGCCATGTCTGCAGCTTCCTATGCCAAACTCATTTATCCTCCTTAAGTGGCGTTACAGAGGCGTGATGGTTTCAAAGGAGCTCGAGAAGGTCTGTGCTCTGGCAGTTTAGAGTCCTACTACCGTATGATGGGATGAGGTCCCGTCATTTGCCTTTGCTCCTGCCAACCTAGCAGATCGAAAGCATGTAAGTGCAAGTAGATAAATGGGTACCACTCCCGTAGGAAGGCAAACAGCGTTCTGTGTTTTGCACTGCAGCATGATATCATGCTGAAGAGTGGTACGATGGCCTAGAGGTGGAGCTCTCGCCTCATGTTCAGGAGGCTGTGAGGTCAATCCTAGGTAGAGTCAGATATTTCTCTGGGCACAATGAGAATATATCTAGTGAATAAAACTCCGCATTGGCGACAGGAAGGGCATCCGGCCAGTAAACACTCAGCTCCATTCAGTTGCCCAGATTCCACCCCGCACAAGGGAGTATGGGGTCATTAAAAGAGGATGTCATGCTGACCACGACTGCAGAAACATTGGGCAGCACGGGCTCAGTGGCTTGAAGAAACAGATATGACCACCGCCTCCTAAAGTCTGCTACGACTAGCGAAGTAAAACTCGCAGGAACACCTTTACCTTTGCTTTGTTGCAATATAACTGCATGGCAAGGGATGAGCAGTCTTTTCAAGACGGAGACTGCATTCCCTTAGCTAAGCAATTGGGATACGCGCACCTGGCGTTGATTGGAGCAAAGCAGAAAGTTTGGTTCATGTCCTCTCTCATCCCGTGGATTCATCCATTCATCTTCTCACATACACATGCACCCACATTCTAACAGATGCACCTGTGTGTGTGTGTTTGCCAGCTTGTATTCTCTCACCCTGTCATGTTTCCTGGCTCATTTCTTACCTTTTTCCTTTCAGGCACTTCCTTTTTTTTACTAGCACTGGTAGAACATGTGCTGTTTCTATTGGTAGCAGCAGCTGGTTTTATTTTTTTCCCCTGATAAGGGAAATGTGCATTTTGCAGCCTTATCAGGAGCAAAAGGCCCCAGGGAGTGTGACTTAGGCCCTTATCACCACCAACTGGGCCACTGAGTACATTTTAGATACATATGCTATTTAATACTAGAATAGAATAGAACAGAACAGAAATTCCCTTGTTCTGGACCTTTCTCCCAAGTGGAGATGCAAAGGTGAGGTGAGGTGGGAACTCACCAATACTGTGTTTTGGGTGGGAGGGGCTTCTCGCCTTGCAGAACAGCATCCCCCCAAGTGGCTTGGTTGTTATTCAGCTTGGCACCCTTGCAGTATTGCAGGCAGTGCGTCAGAACTTTTCTACACTTTCAAGAATGCTTGCTATGCACATTGGGGATGACAATGGTGAGGGTTATTGTTCATTGATCAATGAACATTGCTTCTTTGTAATACATTTGGTTTCCCTGCTGCTAAATTGTCAAGAGCTGGTCTGACTTGGCAATACATAAACAGCCGAGCAGAGGACATACTCAGGATGTGAACTGCCAGTGGGGCATCAGAGTAAAAGTGCATGAGCCTTGAACTGTGTTTAGCCCCCAAAAGGCCTGTTACAAGTTTTAAGGAGCTCCAAATGATCAAATTGTAATTTTGTATATATCAGCAGGACGTTTTTAAACACGCCTAAGATGTATTATTGTATTCATTTTATGTTTAATTTAAAAATAATGGAAAAGAGATCCGTGAATTTGCCTTGGCTTTCCCACCCTTTTTCGGAGTGGGGAAATACATAAAGTAGAAATACAACAAGCAGCACTGAATGAAGATCTGATATGTGTAATCAACACAGAAGCTAATATGTTTTGGATACAGATATCTTTGTAATCTTTGAATCCCTTTTTTTCCCCTGCAGAGAAGAGATTAATATTTTGTTAAGAATTCTAGGATATTCTGATGTAAGAATTTGCAAACTCCTTCTAATGTTGACGTTACCGGGTTGGGTAATGCAACGTCAATCCGAAGCTACAAATATTCTTTTTTTTTTAATTGACCGAAGAAAAGGTGCATTTCTTCTGACTTTCAACTAAAAACACTGTACTTCAGACATTTTGCAAAGGGGCGGCAAGTGCTGATGAAAGTGAGAAAGCCATAAAGTGTGACAATCCAAAATGCGTTTGCAAATGATGGTTGGCATAATTTGTTTTCTGAGGCTGCACACTACACTGAACCCTAAATATAACGGGCTTCATGTGCAAAGCCACAAAAACTAAAAAACTAGCCGGGCTTTGCCTGCTGCATGTACACATCTTGCCTGACCTTTTAGCAGGTGTGAATGCGGCCAACCCTCCATCCTATTATTAAAACTCTCCTTCCATTGGTGAATGCCCTACCAGCGGGAACTTTAAGCAAGATTTTCCCTATTATAGATGGAACTGCAGTTGCCTGCTCTTCCAATAGCATCATAGATGATTAGCCATTATAATTCCAAATTGTATGTGTGTGTTGTGTGTGCAGGCAAAATATTAATTTATTTATTGTTTATTGCTTTTAATTTTTGCCTTCTTTTCGTGTTAACATATTCCCTTAATTTAAGTCTGCTTGGGCTCTTGGGATCCTTGATCTGTTAGAAATGGGGTAGGATCTTCTGCTGGGGGGGGTTGGACTAGATGACCTACAAGGTCCCTTCCAACTCTAAATTTGTAAACTCTGGCCATGGGACCAGCCAAGATGGCTCCTATGCATCCTTCCTGCTGGTTTGTTCCCCAGTTTGCAGATGATGGAAAGGTGCCCTTGGCAAGATCAAAGCCTTCTCTTCTCCTCTGGCTCCGCCCCTTGTTGGTTTAGCCACACCTCCCGCGATCTTGCGGACACCTTACCAGAGAAGGAGGGTGGTGGGGCAGGTACTTCTTGCCTCGGCGAGACTTTTGCTCTGCTATTGGCTGCTTTTAGCCCCAGCCCACCAGCTCGTCCAATCGCAAGGCTCGAGATTCTTCTCCGCATTTCTCCCAGGCCGCTGAGACCGAACCCTTTTTTTTTCTTCCCCACCCTCCTTTGTAATACTTTTGGCCTTTGCCGGCTGCCGTCCGGACCAAGCGCGAATCCTCTCCGGCGGGCGAAAGAAACGAGGGAGCCCGGCTTGGCGATCGGGAAGAACGAAGCTGCACCGGGAAAGGGGGGAGGGGGCCCGCCGGCTCTCTTCCTCCGCCGCCGCGATGTCCGTCCTCAGCTGGAAGCCGTTCGTCTACGGGGGATTGGCCTCGCTGGTGGCTGAATTCGGTGGGTGAGAGAGATGGAGAAGAAAGTCTGGGCCGCGCACGCATGCGCGGTTTCTCGGACGCCTCCCCTTTCGAGTTTCTGGGCTGTAGGCCACGCCCTTTCCCCCCGGCGCCTAGCAACGCCCCAGCCCTGCTCCTCTGCGGCCTAGTTGTTCCGCCTTGGTCCGCGGAGACTGGGCGAAGCAAGGCAGGAAAATCGGTTGGGCGGACAGGTTTTGGCCCAGCTCTTTTCCCCCACCCCAAGTCACTGTCCAACAGTTGACCTTAGCTGCCCAGTCTTTATTTTGGAGAGAGCATCACAATGCCAGAGTTGTTGCTGTGTAAACAAGTGTGACACCTCAAAGGTGCTGTTTTTTTCAAAGAGGCAACTGGACTTTCTGGTTTTTATCTTTGAAGACGTTTCGCTTCTCATCCGAGAAGGTTCTTCAGCTCTGGCTGGATGGTGGGGAATGGAAGGAGTCGCCACCCAATCAGAGCTGAAGAAGCTTCTGGGATGAGAAGCAAAATGTCTTCAAAAAAAAAACAAAGAAAAAAACCAGAAAGTCCATTTGCCTCTTGAAAAAAGCACCTTTGGGACCACCCTCACCTGGATGACTGAGACATGCAGGTGTGACACTTATTGTCACAGGAGCTGATGTGAAGCCTGTGGAAACTTTCCTCCTCAAATTTTCACCTGACAGGATTGAGTACAGGTGGTCCTCAACTTATGACCATAATTGAGCCCCCAATTTTTGTTTTGCTAGGCAAGCCCCACAAGAAACAACCTTGAACTATGGTAACTCATGGGTTAGTCTTTCATAACGATCCCAACAATATTGCTGTACAGGTAATCCTTGACTTAACAACCACAATGGACCCCAAAATTTAGGTTGCTAAGTCAGAAATTGGCTTTGTGAGTTTTGCTCCATTTCTTGCTAGAGTTGTTAAGTGAATCGCCACAATTGTTCAGCTAGCGACCCTGGGGCTGAGTGACTCGGTCTTCCCTGTTGACTTGGCTTGTCAGAAGATTGGAAAAGGAGGATCATGCGATCCTGGGACTCTGCAACCATCATAAATATGAATCAGTTGCCAAGTATCTGAATTTTGACCACCTAGGAAAGCCGCCGTGGTCGTAAGTGTAAAAAATGGTCATAAGTCACTTTTTTCAGTGGTGTTATAATTTTGAACCATCACTAAGTGATGTGTTGTAAGGCGAGGACTACCTGTAGTCAGTGGAAAGACTTCCCACCAGAAATTGTGGGTGCTCCAACTTGGCTGGAGGTTTTTAAGAAGAGATTGGACAACCATTTGTCTGAGCAGGGGGTTGGACTAGAAGACCTCCAAGGTCCTTTCCAACTCTTGTCATTTTGTTAAAATGTTAACTTACCTTTGCTAAGTAGAAACAGGAAAGCAAGGTATGTTACAGGTCTTCTCCCATGAAGGAGGTCCATCTAGTGGGATCAAGAAGAAAGGCCTGCTCCATGATGGCTCCTTTTCTTTGCTACATCATCCCTGGAAAAATAAGATTTTTTCCCACCTTGATACTGTTTTAAAAGGCAATCCAGGAAGACATGGTTCTGCCAATGGACCTGGAGACCAGGGAGATACGGAGCCCATCAAGCGATTGATTTGATTGTTGTCGCCTGGCAGCTGAGATTTATTAGGTTTTGTATTTGGGGATTTTATTTCTGTAAACTTCGGGGTCACTGAATTGGGCAGCCATAGACATTTTCTTAATAAATTTTAATAAGAATTATACCCACTAGAGTTGCCCTTCTGAGAATCAGTCAGTCTGCACAAAGCGTAAGATGGAAGACTCAAAGACCAAAATCAAGAAAGACGTGCAAAGAGACTTTGAAGCAGATTCCTTTATTGTTCCTCACCTCTAGACAGAATCTTGCCAAAGTAAAGCAATTACTTGCATCATTAAATATATACTCTGAGGAGGTCTAGGAAGAGTCTTGTCTCTCTTCTTCCCAACCAAAAACTACTTACTGTCTCTTATTCTTTTGCAATGCACTCCCTCCCTGCTGGGAATCTGGACTACATTTCACCACAAAGACCATTGCAGAATCCCCTTGTTAATTCTTTACAGCTCTTGGGGCGCTTGTACTATGAAGAATTTTATTAGATCAAGATTAATAGTTTGGCTACCTTCAAACCCCCTTTGGCTCTAGGAAAAAAAGGCAGATCTGTGACTGTGCTTTAGTCAATTCTACAAATTGCAGAACAGGTAACATGTTTGAGCAGTTATTAGATCATTTCTGCTATGTGACTTCTTCTATCCTAGGGACCTTCCCTGTGGATCTCACCAAAACACGGCTTCAAGTCCAAGGACAAAGCATTGATTCCCGTTTCCGAGAGATCAAGTATCGGGGCATGTTCCATGCCTTGTTCCGCATCTCCAGAGAAGAAGGCATTCTAGCATTGTACTCTGGGTAAGTACAGTTTCCATTTCCTCTATGCGCAGCTTCTTTCCTACCACACAAAGGTAGTCCTCGACTTACCACAGTTCAGTTAGTGACCCAAGTTACAACAGCACTGAAAAAAGGGACTTATGGCCATTTTTTCATGCAGAATCCCCAGGGTCACATGATTTATGTTGGGATGCTTGACAGTTAATTCCCTTTTGCAACCTTCTGACAAGCAAAGTCGATGGGGAAACCAGATTGAGTTGCGGTGGCGCAGTGGTTAGAGCGCAGTACTGCAGGCTACTTCTGCCGACTGCTGGCTGCCTGCAATTTGGCAGATCGAATCTCACCAGGCTCAAGGTTGACTCTCAGCCTTCTTCCCTTCCGAGGTGGAAAAAATAGGGACCCAAATCGTTGGGTGCAAGAGACTGACTCTGTAAACCGCTTAGAGCGGGCTGTAAAAGCACTGTCAAGCGGTATATAGTCTAAGTGCTATTGATATTGCTATTTGTGTAAGAGTTGTGGTATTAACTTAACAACTGCAGTGATTTCAGTTAACAAATGTGACAAGAAACGTCATAAAATGGGGCAAAACTCACTTAACCAATTTCTGAACTTAGCAACCTAAATTTTGGGGTCAGTTGTGGTTGTATGTCGAGGACTTGTACTACGTGTACAGCCATATTGTTGGGTTCACACGAAAGACTAACCCATGAGTTAGACAGTTCAGGGTTGCTAGTTTGGGGGCTCGGCAAAATGAAGTGTGGGAGTGCTGCTGTTTTCCTAGCCGGATCATCGTTGTTCTTTGTGTGTTGCAGCATTGCACCGGCATTATTAAGACAAGCATCTTACGGCACCATAAAGATTGGTATATACCAGAGTTTGAAACGACTCTTTGTGAACCGTTTAGAAGGTTAGTATACTAAGGAAACCTTGTGGGTTCTTCTCCCCCCAGCCCCTTCACAAAGCTATAAAATGTCAGATCTATTAATTGATAATCAATCTGGCTGTGGCTCACCTGAGCTGCTGGACTTTCAAATTCCCAAGATGGGCAAAGCGAGTGCTGGAAATTCAAACATAAAAGTGGGAAATCACCTACGTTCCATATCTTTACGTGCTTTCATTAGTTTTTGTTTTTTTTTTTAACCCTGAGACTGAATTAGGCTTTTCTCTCCTCAATCTATACTTCTGATTCTTCTTCCTACATCATTTTTGGGATGATTTTCTCTTGTTGCATTGAACTCAGACCCCAAAAGGTGTTCATTGTCAATCATAAGAGCTGCGGTGGCACAGTGGTTAGAGTGCAATACTGCAGGCTACTACTGCTGACTGCCAGCTGCCTGCAGTTCGGTAGTTCGAATCTCACCAGGCACAACGTTAACTCAGCCTTCCATCCTTCTGAGGTGGGTAAAATGAGGACCCAGATTGTTGGGGGTGATAGGCTGATTTTGTAAACCAGTTAGAGAGGGCTGTAAAGCACTGTAAAGTGGTATATAAGTCTATGTGCTATTGCTATTCATCAATAGCTGTATTGAAGCAAATATCCTGTACAGATGTTTTTATCCGAGACAACCTGGTCTCTTTTCTAGATGAAACAGAGGGGACGAAGGGAAACTGCTTGTTCATGGAGCAGGAAGGTTGCTGCAACAAGCAAAGTTCAGGCCTTCATTCCCCTCACTTGTTTCTACAGGTTGTCCTCGACTCACAACACTTCATTTAGTGACCATTTGAGGTTACAAAGCTGCTGAAAAGAGTGACTTGTGACCATTTTTCACCCTTACTACTGTTGCAGTATCCCCGTGGTCACCTGATCAAAATTCAACTGCTTGGCAAGTGATTCCCATTTATGACGGGTGCCAGGTCCCAGGATCATCTGATTGCCTTTTGTGACCCAGAGTCAACAGAGTGGCCAGATTTCACTTAAAAACCATGTTACTAACTAAACAGCCACAGTGGTTCACTTAACAAGTGTGGCAAGAAAGATCGTAAAACGTAGGAAAAAAAATCACTTAACAGGGGGTCTCACTTGGCAACATAAATTTTGGACATAAGTCGAGGATTACCTATACTTGATTTCCTCTTGATTCCCCCCCCCTTTTTTTTTTTGACATTTTCATAAATCAGGATCAAGTCCCCGATGCAGCACAGTTCTGTTTTCCTTGATGAAGACTAGAATCCAGTCCCAAAGGTGCTTTTTTTTTCAAGAGGCACCTGGAACTTCCTGCTTTTTTTTTCTTTGAAGACGTTTCGCTTCTCATCCCAAGAAGCTTCTCGAAGAACTGAAGAAGCTTCTTGGAAGAGAAGCAAAACAAACATCTTCAAAGGAAAAAAAACAACAACAGAAAGTTCCAGGAGCCTCTTGAAAAAAACCTGGATGATGAGGAATCTCCGTAGACCTTAGAATCCAGGGCTTTTCTTAAAAAAACACACACCTCTGAATGTTGTCATTTTGACACTCGTTCCAAAATTCAAAACGGGAATGTCATACTGATAAAAATCCCAAGTGTTTTGCTGCCCTGCCTGCCTTTTCATCACCCACCGAATTGCCTCTGCCTGACACTTATCACAATGTGCTGTGTTGTGGTCTCTGCTTATGGGAACTATGTCTTAAATGTTTGTTTTCCTGCAGGCCCTGGGCAAAGAGTGACCCGGTCTCTTTGGAGAGTGCTGCGGTCAGTACCTGCCCTCCCCAGCCTAACTCCGCTCTAACTCTTGGCTCTTCCTTTCTGAACTAATTCTCTAATCATGTTGGCTGGGTTTTTTTGTGTGTGTGCTTTTTTTTTTAGTTCTGGTTCTCAGATTCTACTGAATCTCTATGAAAAATTGTCCCAAAGGTGTTTTTTTTTCAGGAGGCAGCTGGACTTTCTGATTTGTTCTTTGGAAGACGTTTTGCTTCTCCTTCAAGAAGCTTCTTCCGCTCTGAACAGGAGAGTGGGGAATGGAAAGATGATCTGTGTCTTCAGGGACAGACTTTTAGCTATACAATTTGGTATGAACACTCTCGTGGAATGGTGTGAGAGTAGGAACGGAGGGAAAATGGCAGACTATAGGAACCAGGAGCGCTAGTCAGATGACCCTGAGGACACAGACAAACCTCCAAGTGGCCTCAACGACCTTCTAAAAGGATGCAAATGACCAGCTGTTTGCAAGGAATATACTGGTAAATCTTTCCATTCCTTACCATCCGGTCAGAGCTGAAGAAGCTTCTTGGATGAGAAGCGAAACGTCTTCAAAAGAAAAAACAAGAAAGTCCAATTGCCTCTTGAAAAAAGCATCTTTGGGACAACCAGGACCTGGATGACTGAGAATCTCTACAGGCTTGCTATCCAAAATTCTTTCTGCGTATACACCCTCCCGGGAACCTTAAAGGATTGGGTGGCATTCCTTTTTTTTAGAATCTGAACAATTCTGGAAAAAAGCAAGGAAATTTGGTTCATCTACTTCTTGCTTTAGACTTTAACGGTCTGGAAAAAGAATGGCTTGAATGGAATCCTGAAGATTTGCAATATCTTTAGGTACAAGAAAAGAGATGGTTAGAAAATCTGAGCACCTGGTCTTTCCCTAAAAATAAATAAATTTATGTGTGTGTATATTCTTGTTCACCTTCACTTTTCCTTCCTGAAATCTACCTCTGTTGCTTTTTCTTCTTGAGACGAGTTTTGGGCTATACCATGTTCTTCCTAATTGCAGATGAAACGTTATTAATCAATGTCATATGTGGAGTGATTTCAGGGGTGATCTCCTCTGCTTTGGCTAACCCGACAGATGTATTAAAGGTAAGAGGAGTCTTCCTTGCTGGGTACCGGTTGCTTCTGGGCTCATCCCTGGTCTGTTTATGCTTTTTATTTTTTACTTCCTGGCATTTTTCAAAATTCTATAACTATGATTCTAGCAGCCCTGCTCTATCTTTTTTTTTAACAGTTTATTTATACATTTTGGTTTAACATACCTAAGTGCTTTGGGAACAGTGTATTGTCTGGGTCAATTTGCTTACATAATAATGCTTTCCCAGCTCCTAATTTCTACCTCTGTTATCCAGCCATTTATGAAACAAGTCCCATGTTCGAAAACATTCTATCTTCTTTTTCTTTTATCTTTAATGTCAGTCTGTCCATTTTGGCACAATCTAATATTTTTTAAATTACATCTTCGTCTCTCGGTATTTCCTCATTTTTCCAGTGCTGTGCAAATACAATACTTGCTGCTGTCACAACATGTAGTATTAAATACAAATTCCCCTTATTGTACTTTTCTGGCATACCTAGCAAAAATATTTCTGGCTTATAATCTATATGTAGCTTTTACATTTTTTCTAACCACGTATGTATTTTTGTCCAACATTTCTTCGCTTTCACACATGTCCACCACATGTGATAGTATGTACCCGGTGTCTGGTTACATTTAGCAGCCTTGCTCTATCAATACAGGTAGTTCTCGACTTACAACCAGGGGTGGGATTCTACCTGGTTGGACCAGTTCTATAGAACCGGTTGTTACAATTCTGTGCAGTTCGGAGAACCAGCAAATTACATCAGTAGTGGATCCGCCCCTCCCCATCCCGCCCACTCACTCCTTACCTGGCATGCGTGCCATCAAACTTGTCTGCGTAAGTTGCTATTTTTTTCCCCCGACCATCAGCTGTGCTGCTATGCCGGGAGATTTAGATTAGCTAGAAATCAGGAAATAGTTGGGTTTCTTGCTTTCGAGCTAATCTAAAAGCAGCTTCCTTAGGACTGAAGCTTCTATTTTTCAGTGCAGACTCAGGCAGCAGATTGCAGAAAGGTAGATCTCTGAGTGAATCTGTGATTCTGCAAGCAACTCAATCTGCCTGCCTGCTTTGCCTGTTTTTGGGTGAAAGTTGCTCTTTTTTAATAAAAAATTCAATATTTACATAAATATTTATAGTATTTACATACAAGCCATGCCCAGCCAGACACATGACCACCAAGCGACACCCACAAATTAGACCATGGCCACAGAACCGGTTGTTAGGAAATTTGAATTCCACCCCTGCTTACAACAGTTCATTTAGTAACCGTCCAAAGTTACAACATCCCTGAAAGAAATGACTTATGGCCGTTTTCACACTCAATGGCCATCCCAGCATCCCCGTGGTCACGTGGTCAAAATTCATCTGCTTGGCTACGGACTCATATTTATGAAGGTTGCAGTGTCCAGCAGTCCCGTGATTCCCCTACTGTGACTGTCTGACAAGACAAAATCAATTGGGAAACTGGTTTCACTTAACTCTGCTACTAATTTACTAACTGCAATGATTCACTTAACAACTGGGGCAAGAAAAGTGATAACATCGGGGCAAAATTCACTGAACAAATGTTTCGCTTAGCAATGGGCATTCTGGTGCTCAATTGTGGTCGTATGTGGAGGGCTACCTGTAGATTGCAGATAGTCCTCGACTTATGACTAAAACAGGACAGAATTTCCTTCGTCAGTCACGATGTCATAAATTAAGGCACCTATATAACTAACCCGATTTTATGACCTTTTATGCAGCAGTTGTTAAGTGAGCCAATGCACTCCTATGGATATTTTTTGCTGGTAGTTTCTGGCCAAAAATGTCATAAATCATATCATGTGACCACGCAATGCTGAAACCAGCTGTAAAAGGTGAGATGACTGCCAAACATCTGAAATGTGGCTATGTTGCCATGGGGTTTGTGTGCTGCGTGCCATTTTGGGGGGATCTTTTCTAACTTCAAACCGTTGCTAAGTGACTAGCAAGGACTTTTGCTATATCCTGAGGAATCTGCCTAGTAAAACTTTTAGAGCCTGATTTGCAGACTGGATCCAGCTATCGAAGACTAGCAATGGGCAAGTCTTCACTTCTCTTCACTAGACTAGCAATGGGTATGTCTAACCTAGTGAAGAGAAGGACCAGGGGAGACAAGATAGCAGTGTCCCAATATTTAGGGGCCTGCCACAGAGAGGAAGGGGGGCGTCAAGCTATTTTTTAAAGCACCCAAAAGCCAGAAAAGGAATAATGGAGGGGAACTGAACAAGGAGAGATTCAACCTGGAAATAAGGGGAAATTTTCTGACAGCGAGAACAAGCAACCCATGGAACAGAATTTGCCTTCAGAAGTTGTGGGAGCTTCATCAATGGAGGCTTTCATGAAGAGACTGGACAGCCAGCTCTCAGCAATGGTGTAGTGTCTCCTATTTGAGCAAGGGGTTTGTATGACCTACAAATGAACCAGTGGAACAGCTTGCCACCAGAAATCGTGGGCGCTCCATCACTGGAGGTTTTTAAGAGTCTAGACAGTCACTTATCTAAGATGGTTATAGGTTCTCTGCTTGAGCAGGGGCTGGACTAGAAGACCTCCAAAGTCCCTTCCAACTCCTATTCCGTTCTATTCTATTCTATTCTATTCTATTCTATTCTATTCTATTCTATTCTATTCATCTAATATCTTTTCCAGATCCGTTATTTTGTATTCGGTATCTGGCCTTTCCCAATCTACGCTAGCCTGGGATTCTAGAACCTCTGATCTCTATCCACCTAGAGAGCACCAGGTGGAGGAAGGCTGGTGTAAAGTAAATGGTTATAGAGAAAGTGGGAAGCAGCTGTAAAAGTTTGAGTTACCCTGCAAGGCTGGGAATGAATATTCATGCTTAATACCTTGGACTCCAAGCAATAAAAGTTGGGTCACAGGTGGCTCCCCTATTTCCAGCGACTTCCCTGCTCTCTTCCTTTTCAGATTCGAATGCAAGCTCAGGGCAGCCTGTTCCAGGGAGGGATGATCGGAAGCTTCATAGACATCTACCAGCAAGAAGGCACACGGGGCCTCTGGAGGGTAAGGGCTTCTTGTATCCCCTCCCACTCTCCATGTCTTTTGTTGTTGCTTCCAAAGGAAAATGGGGAGAAGGCTTGTCTTAAGATGGTTTTTATCATGTTTACATTCTGACTCTGCTCAGGTGTCAATACTCTCTGAATGCGATTGGGGTTGTTGTTTTTTTTGCAGGCGTTTCATTACCAAACTAGATAACTCCATCAATGCTAGAAGGGGCTGGGGTTTGTGGAATGGAGGAGGAGGACTCTGGGGTCTTTGGAAGTTTCTGTGCTTAGTTGTGTTCTTGCATGGGTGTTTCATTATCCAATTAGGTAACATCAGCAGTGCTCTGATTTTCCTCTGAGTACATATGACAGTGCTCAAAAGAATCACCCCTCATTTCATTGTCACATAATGCTGTGAGTTTGGTAGTTCTAAAAAAAAGAGTATTACTGGCTCAAACTTATGAGCCAGGGTGGCACAGTGGTTAGAGTGCAGCATTGCAGGCTAAATTCAACTCACTGCCAGCAGTTCGGTCCTGACTGGCTCAAGGTTGACTCAGCCTTCCATCCTTCCGAGGTGGGTAAAATGAGGACCCAGATTGTTGGGAGCAAGAGGCTGACTCTGTAAACTGCTTAGAGAGGGCTGTAAAGCACTAGGAAGCAGTATATAAATCTAAGGGCTATTCAGTAGACTTGAACCTGCTGTCCATCAGCTTAAACATGTTGAATGTAAGATTCGGTCCTTAGGCAGATGTGGCTGATTCTAGAATTTTTAGAATCACAGTTCTGTATGAAAGAAATTTATAAACGTGGTGGTAGCAATTGCAAAAAATTTAAAAAAAATTTTGGGAAGAGAGATCTCTAATAGTGGAATAATTTTAATACTTTCCCTCAATTGAAGTGTTGTCCTTCTTCATCAGGGCCCCTTATTTTTGATTTTCAGGGACCTGCCAGTAAGAGTCTAATTCTCTAGAGGAACAAGAATGGCAAAGCAAGCAAGCAAGCAAAATAACGTAACCCAGAATAATGCATAGCAAATAATAGATTTTAATTTTGGATATGAAATCAGGGTTTTGCCCAAAGAGAAGTTGATCAATCAGGTGTACAGATCTGTCTTTTTAAAGGAGTATTGTCTTGAGATCAGATCTAAGAGCCAGTGGACTGTTATTTTCCCTCTGAAAAATGAAGCAACCCCCAAATTTTCAAAACAGTTAAGAATGGGATAAAAATGGAAGTTATATGATAGTGGGTTATTGATTGAGATGTCGTGGTTGAAGCCATTCTAACTTCTTTTCTTTGGCTAGGGTGTGGTTCCCACTGCTCAGCGAGCTGCTATTGTGGTAGGAGTTGAGTTACCAGTCTATGACATCACTAAGAAACACTTAATACTTTCAGGACTCATGGGAGACACAATTCTGACCCATTTTATGTGAGTACCTGCCACTGTACTGGCAGTTAATCTAAATATATTTTTCTCAAGTTCTGTGGGCTGTGAAACGAAGCATGGATTATGGGCATGGAGTAAGTAGTCAAGAGCTCCCATTTTGGCATTGTGGAGTTTTCCCTGTGACTTCTGGAAATCATACATCCTTCCAGTGGGTGGCTACTGGCGTTCCACTAAGCCACATTATGGACTAGTTTAGTTCTGATTCAGTGTGACATGTGAACCCAGCTCTATAAACCAAGGTTTATGGTTCAGTATTATGCATAATCTAGAGCTTGTAGCATTTAAATATAGCAAGAACAAACGTGAATGCATGTTAGAAACTGTAAGGAGCAAAGAGATTTAACACCTCGATCAAAGCCATCTTCTAGGGAAGCACTGGCATTACTGTTCTTAAAAATTTACGTGAATTGTGGAAAACTCAAGAGGACGAATCGGTCGTTCTGCCACACGCAATTAAAACTTGTGGTTCCCTTCGCACATTTTCTTCCAAGAATTACCCTGAGCCTGTTCCTGAAATCAGTGCCACATTAGAAGGAAGGAATTCAGTCTCTAGTTACTCTGTGAGATGCTTTTAAACAGGTTTCTTCTATGCTTGTCTGTCCAGTTCCAGTTTTACCTGTGGATTAGCTGGTGCCATAGCTTCGAATCCGGTGGACGTGGTTCGAACCCGGATGATGAACCAGCGGGCCATAGTGGGAAGCGTGGAGCTGTATAGGGGAACAGTAGATGGCCTGGTAAAGGTAAGAACTACGGGGTAACCATCTTGAGGGAGTGGAGGGGAGCGATTCAGGGATGCTGGACTAAATAGTAGGGGCACCTGGTTCATTCCCACCCTAAGCGATGGAAATGCCTTGGTCGACTTGGTCCCTATCTCCTTCTCTACAGCCTACTTTTCTTGCTGTGGTGGGAGCAGTATATGGGGGTGAAATGGGAATCCCCTGATGGGGTGCTCCAAGCTCCTAAACAAAAGCAGGATGTAAAACTAAGAAATGTTGGGGCAACACAGAAGGTGTAAATCAGGATGTATTTTGAATGTGGTTTCTTATCGCCTGTACAGACTTGGAAGAGTGAGGGTTTCTTTGCACTTTACAAAGGCTTCTGGCCAAATTGGTTGAGACTTGGTCCCTGGAATATCATTGTATCCTTTTGTACGCCGGGCAAAGGCCCCATCGTGCAGGGAAAGCTGGGGAAGGTTTTTGAAGCAATTATCCATCACAGCCAAGAGTTTTGTAGATGTGGCAAGTTTCCTGCAAAGGCTGAAGTTACCCAAACCTATTCTGATCTAATTTAGTGTGTTGTGTGGACCTGTTTGTTATTATATACCAGAACAATGACTCATTTTTTACTGAGCTAGGTGAGCCTTGCATGTTAAACAACATTTGCTCTATGCACTTAATTTGGATTGCTGTATCAACTCACGGGTTTAGACAGTGTTTTGAGTGGTTAATCGATCGTGTTTGATTCACACCACTAGCTGAATCACAAAAACGAAGAAAGCTAGGGCCAACTTGAGGCACCCTTGAACTGCTGTGCAAAGGGAGTTTCTGAATTTTTAACTGATATGATGAAGGAGCAATTTAGTTTTCCCAAGCGATTTGTTCTGCAGAGACATCTGAACAGTGCATTTTGTTCAAGGTGTGCTGATGTATTTGGGAGCTGAATAATTCTACATACTTCGGGGAGCAGAGACGAGCTACTGAATAGATTCTATCCTTATCCGATCTGGTTGCTGGATCATTAAGGCCTGAGAAAGACACCTGTTCAAGTGACAGGAGAACCCTGCCAAATTTGATATTCATGATGCACTTGGGTTTGTAGCTCATCTTTGGGTAGCTATCCAGAGCTGTTCCTTCTATGGAAGCTATATAAAATATCCCCTCTTTTCCTATCATGGTTCTCCAGGATTAGTATCATAGGTGATGATTAGCCATTATAATTCCAAATTGTGTGTGTGTGGGGCGGGATTTGTTTATTGCTTTTAATTTTTGCCTTCTTTTCACGCTAATGTATTCCCTTGATTTCTGCAGTTCTAACCCTTTAAGTCTGCTTGGGCTCTTAGGATTGCTGAAATGCAAATCTAGGCATGTTACTTAGCTGGGAATGAGACCCGGAGGAGGGAGGGAAAGATTAGAAATTCCTCCTTTGAAAGTTGTTTCTTTAACCGAAGGGCAGTTTTTTATCACCTACGAGCAGCTGAAGAGGCTCCCTTTTTAAGATGCCGGTTTGGATTGGTCATCCAGCTGCCCTTCCCGTCCCCCTCCGTTCCTGCATCTTCATGTATTTTTATTTTTATTTTGGTCTCCATGGACTTCGTTTCGCCCTCCCATGTGCTGAGTGCTCAGTATTGGGAGGGCGGCTTAAGGGGGGAAGGGGAGGATGGGTCCACAAATACAGTATTCAGAGCCTGGTGCGCGTGCTTTTCCCCGCCCCGCAAGGGAGACGGTGGAACACGGAGGGAGAGCACTTAGGTCTGTGTTTGTATCTTCCATGAAGAGAGCTGTGAGTTAAAAACCCTTTTCGTTGCCATGTGGCTTTTGCAGCAGGCAATTCCTCTTCCCCCTTTGGCCCGTGCCAGAGGAAAGCGGGAAAGAAGGGTGCTGCTGCAGGCCTCCTTTCATTGCCATAAAAACCCCATTAAACTATTTATTGGAACCCAATCCTGTGGTGCGTGTGCCTTTTGTATTTCTGCAAATATTAAAGTTTTCTTCAGTGACGGCAGGCGGCTGCCTGTTTAAATGGGTCTCTTTTTCAAAGGAGGAAATTAGAACTGCCTGTCCAGCTATGTGATGTATACACCCGCCAGGCTTAAATTAATATCCCAGAATCCTGATCTGGTACTGTTGCAAACCAGTTCAAATCCAGAGAAAGGATCCACCTGGGTAATCGTCAAAATTCATCCAGTGAATTGTAAGTTTCTGGTTAACTGCAGGAAAACACGCCTGATAACAAAAAAAAATCAGAAAGAGCCTGAATTTTAGCAGCTCCTAAAAGCTTGTGCCTTTTAATAAAATCAGTTAGTGGATGCTACTGGAACCTAAGCCTGATTTATTATTATTATTATTTTTGGCTACAATCAACCAACGTGGCTCCTTTCCTACAAAGAACCTTACATTTCCCATCACCATTTAGCATTGAGCAGATAAAAGTAGCTTTTTAGAATCGTGGCTATGCAAGTCACGGTTACGGAAAGAGATGTCACTAGCAAAAGACAACGAATCCCTGACCATGCAATTCAGCTGCAACAGGTGCAGGACAACACAGTGGGCAATAAAAATAGCCATGCAGCATGTCCCTGGGGAGGCGGGGCGGGGGGTGTTACTACGATGAAAGAAAAGAGAACAGGGCTTCAGCCTGATGGATTCTTCAGCCCTTCAAGCAAGCAGAAACGTGTGTGACAGTTCCGTGCATAACCCAGGATCTCCACAATACCGGTCACCATAATCTAGCAAATGTATAGAGTTGGAATGATCCCTCTCGACTTCCTTGGTCCATCGGAAGCGGTTTGCAGAATTGGCACTGGAAGTTTTCCCAGTCACAACAGTCTCCACCCACACTGGAGTTGGACAGACATCTTTGTCACGCTTTTGGGACAACACACCCAACTGCTGTCGATAAGATGACTGGCATTTCAGCTCGATTCCCACGCCCCCTCCCCGGCTCCGGCTCTTTCGCTAATATTCCTCCTTTTGTGTTTTTTTCAGCCATCGTTCACTCCTCCATAAGCTTGTTTTTGTAAGGGCAAACATAATCAAGGGACAATAAAACGGACTCAACGGGTAATTGCTCAGAGCTTATGTTTGCATACTCCAGACTTTCTTTGACATCATTGGCACAATTAAGCACCATGAGTTATTAAAGTTTAGATAAAGGCTCTCCTTCCTTAGCAGCGATATCCCACAACATTTTTCATTAGCCAGTGATTTGCTAACAGAGAATGGTTGTTTATCACCTGGAAGGAATTTTTTAAAAAGGCATTAATTTCCTCCCCTGCTCTGTGTTGTTCCCCAGTGTTATGGTCACCTAGATCTGAGAACTGTTTACATGGATAACCAAATGGTAGCACTGCCAGAAAACCCTGTAAAGCAACTTGAAGACACGTGGACTTCAAATCCCAGAATTCCCCAGGCAGCAGAATTCTGGGAGTTGAAGGCCACGAGTCGTAAAGTTAGTCACGTTTTGGAGACCTCTGCTTGTAAACCATTGTTGCCTTTCCTTCTAGGCTGCAAATCTGCAGGGTGGAATAAAGCATCCCTAATTCGTGAGATTGTAAGAAAGATTTGGAGAAGATTGACATCAGTCTGTGTTCCATCCTGCGTTTGCATGCTTCATTTTGTTTCCGGTTTTCTTCCCAGGGAGTTAGAATGATAATGGACCCAACTGCTTTCTCCATCACAGCAACATTGTGAAGTAGATTCGGTCAACCCAAAGATGCTTTTTCAAGAGGCAACTGGACTTTCTGGTTTTTCTTTAAAGACATTTCGCTCCTCATCCAAGAAGCTTCCTCAACTCTGACAGGATGGTGGGAATAGAAGGATTGATATTCCTTGCAGACAGCTGGTCATTTGCATCCTTTTAGAGGGTCGTTGAGGCCACTTGGAGGTTTATCTGTGTCCTCAGGGTCACCTGAGGAGTGTAAATAAGTGTGGAAGGACCCATTTATCTGAGGACACAGACAAACCTCCAAGTGGCCTCACTAAAAAGAATGTAAATGACCAGCTATCTGCAAAGAGTCTAAATCCTTCCATTCCCCCACCATCCAGTCAGAGCTGAAGAAGCTTCTTGGAGGAGAAGCAAAATATCTTCAAAAAAAACCCCCAGAAAGTCCAGTTGCCTCTTGAAAAAGCACCTTTGGGACAACCATGACCTAGAGGACTGAGAATCTCCATAGACATGTAGATCAGGTTAAGGCCGCCTGCTCAGGATCGCCCAAGACAAAAGTATAAACTAGGAACTTCTGGAGCAAACTTTAGCCCTCTACTTTGGTTGGGGTCTTGGAGTCTTCACTGACAGTTTGCTGCCATGTTGGGGTGCAAATGCATTGACATTATCATGCAAATCTTCTCTAAGAATAAGAGCTTGAAACACAAGACAACCATTGAATGCTGCCAGAGGGAAGAGAAAAAAAAACCCCTCGACCTCCTTCCAATATTAAATGTGGCCTTTGAACATCCCCCATCTTAATCTCACACTGCCCCAGACATCAATTTAAACATTTCCCACTTTGGCCTCTATGAATCCGGCTTGCTTGGTCCAGCTGCATCAAGTGGCCTATGTTGTCACTGTTAATTGCACAAAAACAAGGCTAATTCAGTTTGTGTTCAACAAGGTGCGGTTCCTGTCCTCTGTTTCCATAGAGAAGATACACAAGTGTTATATAATTGGAAGCTTTTGAAACCTTAAGATTCCACTTCTTGCTTTGCCCATGGCTCATTTATCTGGATCCAAGCTATTAATGTCGGGGAGTAAATACGGTCCATCTGCCAATCTAAACGAACAGGAAGTCATCAGGATGCAATCTCTTTGCGAACGGCGGAAAACAAGCGATTTTATCAACTTAATGGAAAGGGTCTCCATGTTGGTTTGGCTGCATTGTAAAAATAAAATGTGTTCTTTTTTCTGTCGTAAAGAAACAGAACTTCATAGTAGTACTGTATTTCCCCCATTTTTTTTTATTATGATATATTTATGGGAGCCAAAGAGTAAAAACCTCAAGACTTGACCTCATCTGACTGCAATTGACCTTGTTCTTGTAAAAAGCAGCAGTTAATCCTCTGTAGAAAATCAACTGTATGTTATGACTAAGCTGCCATTATTCTTTTGTCAGAACCCATGAGCCAATAAATGCATAGATAACCTCAAGAACTATCCAACATCTTTAGATGATCCAAAATGGGAGCTTCTTTAGGACCAAGGTTCTTGATTCCTTTCCAGCGTTAGGTCTAAAGTTTGAGATTCTCTTGGTCAGGACTCTTCAAACTTGACCGCTTTAAGACTTGTGGACTTCAACTCCCAGAATTCCTCCTCCAGTCATGTTAGCTCAGTAATTCTGGGAGTTGAAGTCCACAAGTCTTAAACTGGCCAAGTTTGAAGACCCTTACTCTTGGCACTGCCATCACCGCCCTTTACAGCTTAGTGATAATGTACAATTATGAAGAAATAAACAGCTTCATAAGTTGGAGATACACCCAGCGGTCAGTGGCCCTGAACTTCTTACTGCTATGGGGTGGGAAAAAAAATCAGGAAACCTGATTTCTGCTCCCATTTACCTTGGAATAATATTGGTTCTGGACAGAAGACTGGGTGAAACATAAGAGAAGAACCTTACCACGAGATAATGTCCCCAGAGTGGCATTTTTTAAAATCTACATCAGTCCTTCAGCTAAGCTAGTGAGATGATACAGACTGGTTCCCCAGGCTGGGCGGGAGCAGCATCAGACTGACTGTCAAAGTGAAAAAGAGGAAAGATTTTGTTCTTCAGGCCCAGACACATCTGATAGATCTCCAGGCGCACTTCCTTCTGCCAATATCCATAGATGAGGGGGTTTGCTAGAGAGTTGCACACGCCCAACACCCAGAGGTAGTGTTCCAGCAGGCGATGGAGGTAGCAGCGTTGGCAGGCAATCTGGACAATGCTCACCACAAAGAAAGGGGACCAGGAGAAGGCAAAACAACCCACCAGGATGGCCACAGTCCGCAATGCTTTGGTATCACTGGAAGGCTGAGAGGTTGGGCAGGCATCTGGCAGGCCCACGGGTGCCAGTTCTCGGATGTGCTGGATGTGCAGCGAAGCAATCTGGAGCAATCGGCAGTGGAAATAGAGGAAGACAAAGAAAACGGGGAAGAAGCTGACGCAGAAGACCACCAGGGTGTACGTCGGCTGAAACACGGCGAAGAAGGTGCACAGACCTTGGTAGTTCTTCTCTTGGAAGCTGTGGACCATCACAGGGAGGAAGCTGATCAGACAAGCCAGCAGCCAAGGACCCCCAATGCAAATCACGACCACCGGGCCACACATGATTCTGAAGTAGCGGAAAGGATGCGTAATAGCCAGGTACCGGTCAAAGGTGACCAAAATCACCGTGAAGATGGAGGCAGCAGAGGGGCAGGTGATGGAAGCCATCTTCAAGACACAGTACTGCTGAGGGGTCTGGTATTCAGGACCAGAGAGTTCTTCGTTCACCAGGCCCGTGATGGTGAAGCCCACGAAGTAGTCAGAGATAGCCAGGCTTAAAACAAAGCACAGCCCAGGGCAATGGTTCTTCCAGACCAGCCGCACCAGCGCAATAACCGCCACACAATTGACTAGCATAATCAGTGAAGCCAGCAAAGCAAGGATGACGCCAAAGGCAACGCTTCCCATACTGATGATGCCTTTTCCGGAGCAAGGTAGGCGTAGAGTCCCTTAAAAGTCAGTCTAAACGCAGACCCTTCTTGGAGCGTCTTTCAAGGGGCTTCTCCAGATTGAGAAGCCAGCTAATAAAAGCTCAGAACTCCTCGGGAGGTGAAAAGCTGGGTGCATCCTTAGCCATCCTAGCCTGCTGCCTTCTGCAGCCTTTTCGCCGATCACATTGGATATTGCTGTTGCTTTGCCTAGTCCCACCCCTGGTTTCCAGACAACGAGAAAAGAAGCCGCTTCCTGAATTTGGCTCTTC